CATTAATAAAAAATTAATTTTAAAAGGAAAAGTTAAATATGTGGGGATCTTTGTTTCAGGGAGAATAAAAGTGAAATAACCCCGAAGGATTTGATTTTTGTTCTTTTTTCTTTAAAGTTTCCCCTCATTTTCGCCATCAATCTTTTTTTATTTCCTCAATGTTTGCGCATTAATTTTTGTTTATTCGTTATTTTCCCAACCAATTAATTTTTAAAAATTTAATTTTCTAGTTAATCACTTTTGTCTTTTTTTCACCTACAAATCAAAGAATTAATTAAATTAAATGACGATAACAATTTTTATTGAGAAATTGTGTAAAATAGTTTCACTTAATTAAATCTAAATCCTTTTAATTACGCGTACTTGTTTTTAGTCAGCAATTAAAGCAAAATAAAAAATTTTACAATTTAATGAAAAAAAGTATTTACGTATTTCTATTTTATTTGTATTTAAACACACTGCTTTTTGTTGATTACAATCGATTAAATTTTATTTAAACTTGAAAACTTTAAGTTTGCAAACTTTTTTTAAAGTTTATTCAAGTTTGTAAAATGTTTTCAAGTTTGTTTATTTTATTTAAATTTATTACTTTATTCAAGTTTATAAACTTAAAACTTTAAGTTTGCAAACATTCTTTAGCTAGTTCAAGTTTAATTAATTTATTCAAGTTTATTTTTTAATAATTCAAGTTTAAGCTTAAATTATTCAAGTTAATAAACTTTAAAATTAAGTTTATAAACATTGTTTAGTTTATTCAAATTCATGCTTAAACAATTAGGTTTATTAGGTTTACTGAGTATTTTATTAAAATAGTGTTTCAAGTTTTAAGTTCAAGTTTATTTTTTCACAACATGTTTCAACTTTATTAATCTTATAATTCAGGTTTATCATATTCGCTTCAAGTGTATTTATTATTTATTTTTTCAAGTTTACACAATTCTAAATTTTAAACTTGCTTTCTTCTTCTCTCTTATGCTTCAACTTACAATCTTGCAAAAATTTTTTAAACTTTAAATTCCCCAATTTTTCGTTTCACCGCACACTTTTTTGTGTTTTAGTTTATCTCTACTTAACTTTTATTTTTCCTCTCTAAACCCAAAAATTCACCGACCTGTATATATTTACCCTTTGTGTTTAGCGGTTGCTCGTCCTTGAATTCCTCTACACACGGGTTTAACGACTGATGCGCACCCAAGATTTTCTTTTAACTAATAAATTAAATAATTCATATAGTTTCTTCTTCTTTTCCGGTCTTTTTATTTTTATCTTTCAATTTTTATTATTTTTTTCAAAAAATTTTTTAATTAAAAAAATTTTTCAAAAGAAATTTTATTTTACCTAATTTGTAAAGGTTCAAGTTTATTTTTAGTTAATTGTAAAAGTTTCAAGTTTGTTATAAATTTATTTTAAAGCTTCAAGTTTATTTATTTTATTCAAGTTTATTTTTATATACCTAATTCAAGTTTATTTAATTTTTTAAAGTTTACTCTCAAAGTTTTAAGTTTTTACTTTTATTTTGCTTCAAGTTTATTTCCAATTAATTTTAGAATCTTCAAGTTTATTTATTTTATTTCATATTTAAATTATGTGTTTCAAGTTTATTTAAATGTTTCAAGTTTTTTCTCAAGTTTTTATTTATATTTTTTGTTTCAAGTTTATTTTCAACTTTATTTATTTCAAGTTTTTTATACATAATATATTTAAGCTTTATATTATCTATTTTATGCTTGTATTTAAAATTTTTGCCAAAAATTTTTTTCAAAAATTTTCAAAAAAAAAAATAATTTTCAATTTTACTTAAAAATTATTACTGATTTTTTCTCTTCTTTTTTTTCTCCTTTAGATTTTTCCTTTTCTAAATCCAATTCCATTTATTTTTTCTTCCCCCAAAAACCTCCAAACCATAAGCTGCGCACACAAATATTTTATTTATTTATGCTATATTAAGTCCAGCACACGCATAAAAATAAATAAATAAAATAGCTGCAATTTGTTATAGGTAAATTGTAACCGCGCTGGTTTTATGTCTTTTCTTATAAAATAAATATTTTTTATTTATTTATTTCCTTTCTTTTGCGCATCTTCTGTGATGGTGGTCATTTCCTCTATTTTATTTAAATAATAAATTAAATGGGGAAATATTTTTTTGGCGTTTTTATTGTGCTAACTAATTTTTTACCTAATTTTATAGCCATATTTGGAAACTTGCATTATTATCATTTACTTTTGCATTAAGTTTTTTTCAAAATTAGGTAAAGCATACAGCTATTTAATTCCTAAGGCTGTGCAGTAGTAGGCGTGATTTAATGGCTAACACATCAGTCCAGTCTACTGAAGATGCTGGTTCGCTCCCAGCCGCAATTAACCTTTTTCACTAGCTAAAGGAGAGAAATAGCTATTGCCAGCTGCTTTACTATTAATTGTAATTGTTTCAAGTTTATTTTAAATTAATTTGTAAAAGTTTCAAGTTTATTAAAATCAAGTTTATTTTTCTTTACTTCAAGTTTATTTATTATTCTTCAACTAAAATTAATTTTTCTTTTAAATTACAATTGCAAAACTTCAAGTTTATTTTTCTGTTTGAAGTTTAAGCTTATTTTAAATATTATTCTTATTTACTTAAGTTTCAAGTTTATTTAAGTTGTATTTTTGCATTATTTTCTCATATATATTTTTAATTTATTTTTGCCTCCATTATACATAAATAAATTATAATTAAATTAAGGAAAGATTTTTAAAAATTTTTAGTTTTCTGTTAATCTCGTTTAAGAAGAATTTTAAACAGAAAATTTTAATTTTATTATTAAATATTTTCTTTAAAAATTTTTTTTTCGTTGGCGAACCTACAAATTGAATGATAAACATTTTTAGATTAATTTTTGTTGAAAACACCAAGCAGAAACCAGTCCCTTTAAATATTACAAAGACTTCTTCTTCCTTCCCCCTTTAATACTCCTTTATAACCACAAAATTGATTGCGCGATGTTTAATATATAAAAATATTTTTATTACAAAATAATGTGTCCGGCACTAGTTAGCCACACACACACACGCAGGAAAAAAATTTAAAAAATTCTTTTCGTCTTCAATCAATTTTCCCATCGATCAGTGATTTTGTGGTGTGGGCAAATATTTATATAACTTGACTAATATTTTTTCATTAATTTCTTTATTAAAAAGTTATATGGGTGTTTTACACATTTAATTAAATTATAATATTTTTAATTTAACTGAAACTTTCACAAACTTAAAAAAATAAACTTGAAAAATACAATCTAATAATAATAATTCTTTAAGTTTACAAACTTAAATTAAAATAAACTTGAATTTATTTTTTAAATATTTCAAGTTTATTTATCGTTTGTAATCTCAGTTTACTTACAATTTGCAATTTAAAGTTTTTTTTCAAGTCTATTCCTTAAACTTGAAAATTACGATCCTAATTTATTTTTTTATTACACTTACAAATTAGCCTACTTTTCAAGTTTTTGATTTTTTACAATTGTAAAATATTGATAAACACAAAATACATATTTTATAATTTGTTTACTTATTTTCCACAAATTCAAACAAATTTGCAAACTTAATAAAATACATTGTGAATATTCATTCAGAAACTAAAAAACTTTGGTTGGTTAAAATATATATGTATTAGTTTTAAGTACAAACTAGTTCTGATATTATAAACTACTAATAATTATACTTAAGTTTACAAACTTTAAATTAAATAAACTTGAATTTTAAATAAACTTGGATTTATTTGCATTTTCTATTCCTTTCCAAGTTTATTTTTTACAACATTTTTCAAGTTTATTTACCGTTTGTAAAACAAGTTTATTTACAGCATGTTTCTTTACAAATTGTAATTTAAAGTTTATTTTCAGGTTTTTTACAAGTTTTCTTTACAATTTGTAATTTGTTTTCTCACAATTTGTAAACTCAACTTTATTTTTTACCAATACACACTTATGCTTATTTTATCATTTAAAAATTAATTTTTATAATTATTTCTATTTTCAACTAATTTTTGCAAAATCTGTCACAGCTACCCTCCAACAACACAAATTCCTTCATTCCTCTCACCTTTAATAGTACACATTTTTTATCACAATTTTTTTTATTTTTTTTTTTGACTGGCGCGCGATAAAAGTTGCAACCCAAATATTTAATATTTATTATCTAATTAATCGTGAAAAAATTTTTTCTTTAATATTAAAAATAATCAGTAATGAAAAAAATTTATAAGGTGTTGAATTTTATTTTAAAAAATATTTTTTATAAAAAATGAAATGCATAAATTTCAAAATAACCAAAAAATCGAAAGAGAAAGCAGAGAATAATGATTCAACTATTAAAATAAAAATTATTCACATAAATATTTTTTTCATTTTTTTGATAACCACAAACAAACAGCTAACATAAATATTTACCTTTATGTATTTTATTTAAACATACAATGTTGGGTATATTAAAAATAACCACGTTTCTTTGAAAAAAAGTTAGGGTTGTAAAACATTCTGATTTTTTCAAGTTTATTTACAAAGTTTACAAACTTGAATTAATAAACTTAGCTTTAAATAAACTTGAATTTAAGCAAGCAAATTTATTTATATCAAGTTTGCAACTTAAGTTTTCTATTTATCTCTTCTTAAGTTTATTTATTCTATTTAAGTTTGTAATCCTAATTTTTTTCTTTTATAATTTACTTTTACAATCTCAAGTTTATTTATTATACTTAAGTTTGTGACTTAAGTTTAAATTTAAGTTTATTTATTGTATTATCAGCTTATTTATCTCAAGTTTGTAATTTTATTTTTTCTACTCTTATATTTTAATGTTGCAATCTCAAGTTTATTTTCGCATTAATTAATTTTATTAAGTTTGTATATTATTTATGTTTTTTTCAATAATTTAATATAATAAATATTTAGCTATTTATTATGGAATAATTTCTGTTGTCTCTAAGCCTGGCTCGATTTAGCTTATATATGGAATAGATAATGTACGAGTCTAGTCAAGTAATAATTTTTTAAATTAAATTTAATAAAAATATTTTTAAAGAAAAATCATTCCTCCTCCTCAAAACGACAGCAAAAACAACAACAATTAAATGGACATACAAATGGTCGAATAGGAAGTGGAAGACGAGTACATGTTGTAGACAACAACATTTATTCCCAACAACATCCTAGTAAAATGGTTGTTGATCATACTTGTAGTAGTTCCCCTCAACAATGTGATTGTTGCCCCTATGGTTACCACATTGATTTGGGGTTTGTAAAATTTGCTGAAGATATTGCTGCGGGGAAAGAACAAATACAGGCACATTTTAATTCGATTTTAACTAAAAATCAGAATTTTTGAAGAATTGGTCAAATGAGGAAAAGAAGCGGAATCGTCGATTGTTGGCATCACCCAGTTCTGACAAAACTATGCTGGACTTATCCGGTTCTGACATTGCAAATATTAGTTCCTCATACCCAGCTAATGATTCAATTCTTAGGTAAAATAAAAAATAATTTTCTGCTAATTTTTACAGTAGTACAAACTTCTCTCCTTATATGGAGGAAGAGGAATTGCCAGAATTATTAGAACAACAAACTCACCAACAATATCAACAACAACCACATTTTAATAATAATTCCAACATATGTTTTAACAGTCAACAACAAAATGGCAACAACAAACACAATTTAACAAATCGCCAAACATCCTCTAATTCTCAACAACAACAATTACAAAGCATTTTAAAGAAAAATGCTGATGTTTGGAAACAAGGAAATATTAGTAATTCGCAAACTCAAGTTTTGAGGAATATAAATCAACAGGTGTTTAAATAAAATAAACATTTTTATAAACTTGAGATTGTAAAACATTGATTGTAAATTAAAGTTTAATTATTTTACAAATTGTAAAATTAAAGTTTTATTATTTTACAAGTTGTAAATTAAAGTTTAGGTATTTTACAAATTGTAAAATTAAAGTTTTATTATCTTACAAATTGTAAATTAAGGTTTAAGTAGGTATTTTGAAATTAACGATAGGCATTTACAATTATTAAAATAGACAACATTTACAATTATTGTTCTACAATCGTATTTTTAAACATTTGTTGAAAAACATTTTACAAATTAAATTTTCAGTTTTCCTCCAAAGAAATGTTAGGACAACATCGCTCACCAAAACAACAACATCAAAGCCGTTTCTATGAAACTCATGTTCAGCAACACAGACAACAACCTTTTTTTCTCTCGAAAATTGAAAATGCCCAATTTATTGATGAGGGAGAAAATAGTTCATCTCCAATAAATAATTTTAGTGCTATGACACCGCTCAGAACTAGCACTCCTAAAGGTTAATAAATTAAACTTACAAACCCCAAGTTCATGCTTAAAATAAATAAAAAAATTTCCAAGTTTTTAAGTTTACAAATTTCAAGTTTGTAAAAATACAAACTTAACTATTTCAAGTTGTAAATTACAAACTTAAAATTATAAAACTTATTACATCCTTAAATAAATCAACTTGTTTTTCAAGTTTATATTTTGCAAACTTACTTTTTTCAAGTTTAAAAAATAAACTTGTTTTTGTTGTAAATTGAAAACTTAAAATTACAAAATCTATTTCAACTTAAAAATAAAACATTTTTAATTTTACAATATCAAACTAATAATTACCTTAATAATCACCCCCTTTTTAAGCAAATTTAGAAACACAATATCGTCTTCCACTACATATAGCCACAAGTGCATTTGATGCCGATGGCTATGGAGGTGCAACATCTTCAGCCCCGTCTTCTCCCGCCTCCTCCTTTCAACACCTACCCGCTTATCAAGCAACTATAGCTCATGACTTAGCTCAATTAAAAAAGACACCTTCGAGAGGGGGAGCAGTAATACCCACAAAAACGTAGCTAAATTCAAATTCTCTTCAAAATTAATTTTTAAATTAATTTTTAGACAGCCTTACACATCTATTGCCTCATTGTCAAGCTCTGCCCGCGGTGCTTTCAACACCAACATAAATCGCCAACAACATGTTATATCACCAGAACCGAGAATGCTAATACAAAATCATCAAATTAATGGTAGCCGTCAACTAGCTAACGATACTATGCTTCGTTCCTCGAACTTACAAAGTCGGGCGTATTTTCATCAAAACATTGGTGGGGGTGTTGCTTTTCAGAATGATTCTGGTAAGTTTTCAAGTTTTATTTATTTATTGTAAATTATAATTGTAAAACAAGTTTTAAGTTGTTAATTTTATAAAACTTGAAAATCAACTTGTTTGTATATTTAAGTTTGCAAACTTTGTATGTATAAACAAACAAGTTGGAAAAATAAGGAAAACTTGAAAATAAAAAAGTTAGTTAGAAATTGGAAAAATTGTAAAATAAACTTATTTACAATTGTAAAACAAATTATGGTTTATCTCTTTTCGAGTTTATTTATTTTTATATTTAAGTTTGTAATTATACATGGCTTTTACTCTTATATTTTAATATTGCAATTCAAGTTGTAATATTAATTTACCAAATTTTAATTGTAAAACCTGTCTATTTTATTTTACAATTATTTTTAAATTACAACTTTATTAATATTTTCAACAATATTAAGCTGCAACGCGTTTAATACCTTATCGTTCCCGTGGAGGTACAACTCCCTCATTCTCTCAACAGCAAAATGGTAGTTTATCTCATTTGACTCACGGAGGAGGTAGTGTAGCTGGATCAACATTAGAGCTCACCGAATTTGCAAGTGTTCGCCGTCGACGTTTAGAAGCAGATATCGGAGGAGCACGTTCGCCAGTAATGCCATCCGCGCATTTGGTTCGATCTGTTTCCCCGCCAATGGTTTGAAAATGAGAGAAATTTTTTATCAACCTAATGTTTCACCTTTCAATTTAAGCATTTTCCCGCGTCGAAAACAACCCCAATTGGCGGCAATATTCAATCAAACTCTTTTTCCTATTCGTCTGTTAATAATTTGGCTTCAGCTTCTCCATCTTCCCAGTTATTAATGAGGTGGAAAAAAAATTTTTTTAATTAAAGAAATCAGTCAAAGAAATAATTTTAGAAATTACTCAAATCCATTATCAACCAACTACAATAAAATTATTGAAGAAACGCCTGACAACAACATTCAAAACAACCAACAAAAACCTTCAATTTCTTCAAAACATACTTATCTTGAGGAAAACGAACTCGACGAAGCAATTCCCCAAACATCAATAAATAAAACAAATAAACTTAACAACAAAACAAACAAAACAACATATAATTCTATTAGTGCAGATTTTGTAAAACAAAAGAACAACAACAACATTCAAACAAAACAAGTTTCTTTTATGAGAAACTTTGGGACTCAAACAACGTTTGCAACAAAACAGCCTGTTTTAAAGGTATAGATTGTTTCTTGAATGTAAACATGTTTGTTGTGTTTTTTGTGATTTTAGTATAAAACAAGTTGTAAATGTTGTTTTTAGAAAAACAAGTTTTTAACTTGTTTAGCTGCTTAAAACTTGTTCTAAAAACAAAGCCGAATATTAGATGTTTGTAAAACAAGTTTATTTAATTAAAACTTGTTTGTATTTTATGAGTTGTATACAATCATATAAACAAGTTATAAAAATATGTTTTTAAACAAGTTGCAAACTTGTTTGTGAAAACAAACTTTTAAGAATAGAACTTTGTAAAGTTGTAAAAACAAGTTGTAAACAACAAGTCCTAATATGACTTAAACATTTTGTAAACTTTTTTGTAAAAACGAACACTTTAAAAAACAATTTGTAAAACAAGTTTTAATTTTAGGATGTTGGTGTTGCTACTGATTCCAAAACTAATTTACCAAAGAAAACTCGTCTTAAGGAAGCTAGCACCTCTCCAGAGCCTATCATTCCTCCAACCTCCAAATTTAAAGAATTGCCATTTTCATCATTTATTAAATTCAATTCTATTGGAGTAGACACAACAGAAATAGAAGAACTTGAAGAAGAAATTAAAAATTCCTTTAAAAAGCCTCCCCCGCAACCTCCTCCTAAACCTTCAAGGCCCGATTTAGAGGAGGAATTGAGAAGACGTCGACAGGCTGAAAGATTAGCCTCTTTGGTAACCGAGTTTCAAGTGAGAGAAAATAATGTTTAGGCTAAAAATGAAATTTTAATTTTAAAGTATTGCTTGGGGCATGAGCCCGAACACCTTCCCTGCCAAGAACCTCCTCTATTTGATAAAATTCAAAGTTGGAAAAATTAATAATTTATTTAACTAATCTCAAACAATTTTTAGAAGTAGATAAAAGTGTGGAAGCCATAAACTTACTACTCATCCCAACAATTAGCAAAACTACTGCAACAACTAGTACAACAGACCTAACATTTTCCATAAATGTTGGTGTGGGAACATTGCAACCTGAAATGGTTGAAAAATCAATGGAAACAGAAACAATCAAAAAATTGTAAAAACTTTTTAAACTTGAAGATTAAAACAAGGAAATTGAAAATTGAATAAAACATTGGAAATAAAACTTGAATCAAAACATGGAAATAAACGAATTAAAACATGAAAAACAAAACTTGAATCAAAACATGGAAATAAACTTGAATCAAAACATGGAAATAAACTTGAATTAAAACATGAAAATAAACTTGGATTAAAACAAGAAAAACAAAACTTGAATCAAAACATAAAAATAAACTTGAATCAAAACATGGAAATAAACTTGAATTAAAACATGAAAATAAACTTGAATTAAAACAAGAAAAACAAAACTTGAATCAAAACATAAAAATAAACTTGAATCAAAACATGGAAATAAACTTGAATCAAAACATGGAAATAAACTTGAATTAAAACATGAAAATAAACTTGGATTAAAACAAGAAAAACAAAACTTGAATCAAAACATAAAAATAAACTTGAATCAAAACATGGAAATAAACTTGAATTAAAACATGAAAATAAACTTGAATTAAAACAAGAAAAACAAAACTTGAATCAAAACATAAAAATAAACTTGAATCAAAACATGGAAATAAACTTGAATTAAAACATGAAAATAAACTTGAATTAAAACATGAAAAACAAAACTTGAAAATAAACTTGAATCAAAACATTGAACTCAAACTTGAAACAAACTTTATTTTTACAATTTAGACAAATTGGTGTACAAACAGAAAAAGAAGAAGCCAAAGAAATTGAAAAATTAATTAGTTTTGAAACTGAAAAGAGGATTAAAATTGAAAAAGAAAAATTAAAACTTTTGCTGAATGAAATTGGAAGCCAAACTGAAACGGATTGGTTGGAAAGAGAAATTGATATTAAATTGGCTGAAGCTGAAGCAGAAAGGTAGGGGTACTTTTGTAACATA